GGAGAAACCTAAACAAACTAGCCTGGACCATTCCAAAGCATTCATAATTACTGGATCAGGCTCAAAGATAATGCATTTAGGACTGCTCTAAAAACATTTCAGATAGGGTGAATGTAAATAAAGTGGCCTATAATTGACCCTTCTGCTGACATCTGAACTCTGTCTGTGCTGATGCACCTGGGGAAAACAATATGAGATGGAGAGGGGTGCCTGAGGCATCTGGCAGGTCCAGACCTACCTCTGAGTGTGACCCGTGGAGCTGCAGAGCTGAGGGTATGGATCAGGGCTGCAGGAGCTTGTGGGGTACCTGAGCCCCTTGCACGTGAGCCAGCTAGGCTCCAGAGAACAAGTGCTGATGGAAGTGTGAAACATGCTGATGAGTTTTGGGGGGTGGAAGTGCAAGAGGTTGATGTGGTTGATGAAACCACAAGTGTAACTCTGGCAGTCCAGGTGAGGTATGCAGTAAACCTCTGGGCACCTAACCCTGACGAGAAAGACGTGACACTGGGAACTAATTTCTGGGCCATTTGTTTATTTCCTCAAAAACTTGCTGTTTACAGTGTCATTACCTTGGGGAGCAGCTGTGGGCAGGATGGAACAAGAGGGTCTTGCAAGTGCCTCCCTCCTCCCTGCAAGGCTCTGCTGAGCTCACTCCCACCACCCCAATTCAATGAGCAAAGCTACTGAACTGGGGTGGCTGAAGGCAAGTTAAGTTTCATGCATCGAGGCAGCATGGGACTGGAGCATTGGGACCTACAGTCCTGGGAAGTGTGGAGGGAGGGACAGAGAGCCAATTCCCTGGCTGGATCAAATAGCCTGGATTTTAAGGCTTAGTGTTCCTTTTGAGGCGGAGTAAAGATCCCCCCTGCAGGGGCAGAAGGCAGGGCAGAGCTCCTTCTGCCCCTGCTACCAACTCTGGCCTTGGTCATTTTCCCCTGGCACCTCCTGGGAAGAGATGGAAATGAAGGAGGGACGACCTCCCGTCATCCCACTCTGATGTGCTTCACTGTGAGCCAGAGGCAATCCCTACCTCCCAGTACCTTTTACTAATGGCCAAACTTCACTGAATCTCCAGGGAGAAAGAATCTGAATATCCTCTGTCCTTTGTCAAGGATGAATTAGGAAAAATAAACTCAAAAACCAGAAAATGGAGGCCCAAATACATCAATCCCAACCTTCCTCCTCACAGCCTCCCCTTTGTCATCACTTGCCCCTCACCACTGGGACTCGGGAGACTTCCTCCAGCACCCACCATAAAGCACTTTGTGTCAGTTTACTGAAAAGAAGAACTTTAAAAATAATTAAAACACTGTTTTAATCTTCTTGACTTTTTTTTCTTCCCCCCCTCCCCCGTGCCCCATTACCCATGAAGAAAAAATGAGGGAAAGAAAAAGGCAGAAGGGCACTTTGTTTTCTCCCCACACACACTCAGAGCTGTAAAATACTTCTTAATCATTGAGAGCAAGAGGATCTCCGTGCTGGGCCTCCACTTTTTGTTTGTGAGTTTATTTTTCCTAATTCATCCTTGACAAAGGACAGAGCCATAAAAGAATCAACTAGCACGTCTGTGGGAAAAAACTGCCCTGAAAAGGGTCGGAGGAATACTGTAGCATTTCCAAACAATTCCAAGGGCTAAAGCCTGTGTGAGATGCAGCTTCAGCTATAACTTGCCTTTCTAGGAACAAACCTACATCTGTTTGGCAATGCCATATTTTGTAGGGTAAAATAAACCCTTGAGAACAAACAGGGCAGCTTATCCAGAGGGATAAATGCTTGGGAACAGAGCTCACTTGTTAATCCTAAAACTGTCAGCAAAGACCCACTGGAGAAATTATAGCTGGCCACGGGCACTCAAGCTGTTTCCCTCTGCCTCCCCGCCTCCCCCCATCCCCACAACAGCTGTAAAATCTTCTTTATTGTTCTGCTGGAGTTGGAGAGCAGCACAGAGAGGTCTCCCAGCCCAGGGCTGCAGCAGCAGGGGCAGGGGGAACATTTGAGCCATTGTATCTGCACCGGTGTTATTGCTTCAGTGGCAGACAAAGAAAATGACGGCGATAAAAGAAGGAGAACAGCCTGAGCACCTACTAAAGAGGCATATGAACAGGAAATCCTGGCTCGTTCCCACATCTGAGTTGCGTACGGTTTCTTTCCCTATAGGATCATTATGTTTAATGTCCTTCTGCAATTCAGGCAGCTGAGCCAGCGGAGCCCCTTCCCTCCCCCTCCTCTCTACCTTCCCTTCTCTCATCAGATTTCGAGCCCTCCCTGTGGAAAAATGATTTGTGCACAAGCAGCCTACACAACGGTGCTTAGAAGGAATTTGCCCCTGCCAGGAGTTATTAATGGCACCCCAGTAAATGCCCCCAGCAAAATGGGCCGCTGCAAGCATCAAGTGCGTGTTGAAAAATCGGGTTTAAATCGTCCCTTGGGCAATGACCTATTGGCCACCTAAAAAAAGCAGGATTGGTTTGCTGTATAATTAAGTTCAGGCCATCTCTTGTGCTTACACATGCAGAAACCCAGATGTCAGCTTGGTGCGAGTCAAAGTTCTGGGCTCTTTTAAAGTACCAGAAGACAGACTGTGAGGGCATAACATTTGCCACTGGAAGAAAACCTACTTTGAATACTTGGAATATTTAACTGACTGCAACAGATAATTAGCCAAACCCTCTTATGCCTCCAAATATAGATTCATTAGTCATATGAAAATATCTCATTGGAACCAAATGTGAGTCATTAGTGAAGTCAACAGCAGATCATAAAAAAGGTACCGAGAGCCTCCTTCCCGCTATCCCTGAGAAGTTGTAAGTGTGCAGGGAAAATAATTTGCTCCATTTTCTATTGAACATCTGCTGGGAAATCTGTTTAAAAGGGAGGGTTTTGAAGGGCTGCTGGTATGCAGGGCTGTGCATCCCATTTTCCCACTTCGAGATTTGTGCGAGTAACAATTGCAAATCCCGTGTTGGGCTTTTTTACTGCATTTATTTTTCTTTTTGTCTTCTGCAACAGACCTTCTCAAGTCGCCCAGGCTAAAATTTGGGCTCTATAATATAAAAAGACATTTTGTAACATGAAGTAGAATAAAAATCTCTCCATTATTTGCTTGTGATTTCAGGGGAACATGTTTGTTGCCTTGGAATTTCAGAATCCCCTGCACTCAGAACAATGAGTGCAGCTGCCACAGGAACCCCAAAACCAGCTGGATACTTTCCAAAGTGAAATGGGGCTGGTTAAAATCAGTGTCCAGCTTAAGCAAGGTGCAAACAAGCAATGGTGCGTTTTAAAAATTAAAGCAAGTGGGTAGCTCCTCTATGGCAAGGTATCTGCAGCATGATGGGCAGACAGAGAAAGGGACCATGCTTGATTAAATTCTTGTAAAACCTGAGTTACTGTTTGGGAAGATCCAGAGACTGGGATGGAACTGCATACTCAGTCCCAGGACATATCACAGATTTCACAGAGCGTGCTGAACGCTGCAGTCCATCAACCAACCCTGCAGTCATCAATCTCACAAACAAACATGTTGTTGTATAACTCCAGAGCTGTGAGTAATCTTGTGCCAAAAGTTGTGTCGCGCGAGTTGTCAACAGCAGCATTCTGCGTTTTTCTTAATTTGAAAAAACTAAAACTAGAACAACAAAAAATTACACCAGCAAATTTTAAATGCTCCAAAGCTGTCATTTTTCCCGTGGCTGAAGGAACTCAGGCTGCCTCAGTGCCTGACTTTAACCATACACCCCACAAAGTTATTAACTGAGTTTTCCAGCTTCATTAGCTCAGTTGCATTCCCTTAACTTTGTTGTTACTATTTTTTTATTACAGAAAAAAAAGTCAGCTCTATGCAATACCCCTCGTAGTTAAAATCCTCTGTGTAGCCTGTGGCAGTTGAGCAGCAGGAAAAGGAGTGTGACAGGGTTGGAAATGGGCATTTCATACCAAAACCCCAAAGCTCAGAGACCTCTGTCTCTGTGCCTCTGGTTGTACCCCACTTTTGGTCACCCTCGTGACCAGAAGTGCCACAAGGGGAGGTAGAGTCAGCTGCAGACAGCTTTGATCAGAGGGCAAAACACCCGTGGGCAGCCAGGCAGGACACATAGGGGCATCCCTATGGGCATGGAGCCCTGGATCTCCAAGAGGTCTCACACACCTTCAGGGTCCTGTTCCCATGGAGGCATGGTGGCTCCCAGGACCAACATTTGGTGAGCAACTGGGTGTTGGGACTGTCCCCGGTCCAGGTATTGGTCCCCATACCTATGGTGGCACCTGGACTGAAATGTTGCTGCTTGTGCCAGGCCTGGCACTTTTGTGGCAGTGGGGTGAGAGTGGGCCCTTGCTTACCCGACCCCAGCTGCCCTCGTTTCTGGGGGTGTGGAGATGACCCAGTTCCCCTGTCCCAGCACTGGGTGTTGCTGTGAGGCACGACCCCAGCCCTCTGGTGGAATGGGATCCCCACCCCTCCTTGTTCAAGGTGTCTCTGTGAGGCGGCTCTTGATTCCCTTCGTGTTTGGTCCCGCCGTATTCAGCGGGGCAGACCCCCCCAGACGGACACCTTGTCTCCCACTGCAGTAGGCCCTCGCCCAGTGTTGGTCACACTCCCCAGTTCCTCTTTAGGTCATCCCCAGTCCTGTGTGCGGCTGGCCCCAGCCCACTGTGGGTCTGATCCCCGCTCCCCACCGGCAGGGACAGCCCCGACCCCCGCGGGGAACGGAGGCGGGCGCGGGGGCGGCTCTAGGACCCAGCGGCGGCGCGGCGCGCCCGGCCCCGCTCAGCCCGACTCCGCGCCGAGCTGAGCCAAGCCGAGCCGTGCCGTGCCTCGCTCGGCCGTGCTGTGCCGTGCCGTGCCGTGCCTCGCTCGGCCGTGCTGTGCCTTGTCGTGCCGTGCCACGCCGCCTGGTTCCGCTCCTCTCTCTCTCTTCTCCTCTGCTCTCCGCCCCGCGCCGCCCCGCCGGGGGGCCGAGCGGCGCGTCCACCTGCCGGCCCCGCGGCCCGTCAGTCCCGCCATGGCGCTCGGCGGGGTCGGGCGCGGCGCGGCGCGGGCCGCCTGGCCGCGGCTGCTGCTGGCGGCGGCGGCGGCGGCGCTGGCGCTGGCGGGGCCGGCGCTGCCCGAGGTGCTGTTCCGCTGCCCGCCCTGCACGGCGGAGCGCCTGGCCGCCTGCCCCCCGGCCGCCCGCCCGCCCTGCCCCGAGCTGGTGCGGGAGCCGGGCTGCGGCTGCTGCCCGGTGTGCGCCCGCCTGGAGGCCGAGGCGTGCGGTGTCTACACGCCGCGCTGCGCCGCCGGCTTGCGCTGCTACCCCGACCCCGGCGCCGAGCTGCCCTTGCAAGCGCTGGTGCAGGGACAGGGCACCTGCGCCCGCCGCCGCGACACGGCCGAGTACGGCGCCAGCGCCGAGCGCCCCGCAGGTGAGCAGCGCCCGGCCCCGGTCTCCGCGGGTCCGGCACGGCGAGCCCAGAGCCGCGCTCCGGAGACCGGGCACCGAGCGCTCCGAGCGGCGCGCCAGGGACCGGGCACTGCGCGCCGGGGACCTGGGACTGGGCACCGCCGTGCGGGCTTCGGGCACTGGGGACAGAGCACCGTGCATCGCTCACCGGGTACCGGGCACTGGGGACAGGTGGGCGCTGGACACCGCGCACTCGGGAACGTGTGCCGGGACTCGGGAACGTCCAGGGGACAAAGGAATCCTAAAGGGTGACCTCAAGGAGGTCCTCCCGGGGCAGAGTGACTCCGCGGGAGACGAGCGAGAGTAAGTCCAGGGAAGCACAAAGAGGGAAGGAACGAGAGGGGCGCTGGAGGTGAGACAAAGCATGAGCGCATCCCTGAGGTGTGCAAAATGGGATATTTGGGGTGCAGTTACTTCGAGGGTTAGAGAGGTTTCCTTGGTGGGGCAGGAAGCCTGGGGGTAGAATGTAATGCGGTGGAGGGAATGCAGGGATTGCTCCAGGGGGCAGGCTGGAGGTTGGGGTCTTTTAAGGAAAAAAAAACCACCATAGGAACAGATAAGGGTGAACTTTGGGGCGATGCAGCTGCGGGGTGGGGAGAGTCCTTTGGGGAGCAGAGAGAGGCGGACGTTCAGATTTGTGTTTGGTGGAAGAGTAAAACTACCCTGAAGGGTCATGGATGCCCCAAAGCTATGGAGAGAAGTGGTGTGGGAGGACCATGTGCTGCCTGGTGGGAAGGGGGAAGCTAAGGGAATGCGGGGGCCCTGCTATGTGAGGAACCCTGTGGCCACCCTTCCAGCAGAGTCCACCTTGAAGATGAGGTGACCTCTGCCAGCTCCCGTGGGGGTCCCGGCCCCGTCTGGCCCCCCTGCTCCAGGAGCTGGTGCAGGGACAAGAGGAGCGTCTGCCGGAGCACAGCCCCGGGGACAGGGATGCCAGCAGGCTCCTGACCTGTTGCTGTGATTGCCGTGGGAGGGAGCGCTCTTCGGGTTGCCGATACAGCAGTGCTGGCTTCTATTAATGCCTCCTCTCCCGTGCGATCAACTGCAAGCTCTTTCCTTTTCCGTGGGATGTTAAGAATCGACAAATCAGCTCTGGAAGTAGAAACCAGCACTTTCTCCTTTGTAATCACCCCTCCTTGATTTCTGCTGCCTTGCTGGTTTTGCTCCCCTGGCTATGACTTGGGCTCTTGACCTGTTTGCATAACTAGTTCAGCAGTACGACTTTGAATTCCCTCCCTTCCCTCTTGAGGCTTTACTTTAAAATGCTCTGAACCGGGCTGTACCTCTTGGATTCCCTCTCCGTGAGGATGGGAATGCAGCCAGGTACCTGTGCACACTGGTCCAGGTACCTGTGCACGCTGCTCTGCTCGAGGAGGAGAGATGGAGAGAGCAGAGCAAAGAAAAAACAGCAGCACAGAGAACTTTGTACGTTTCAAGCTGCTGCTTCGCACAGCCAGGCTGTGACTGCTGTTCTCCCCACTCCTGTCCCTGTTCTCTTGCTCAGCTGTAAAGGGCTGTGGAGAGCCAGGACTCTGGAGAACAACGCTGATATGAAATCTTCCTTGGTTACAGAATATGAGTGTCAAGGGAATGAATTTTAGACTCACCAGAAGAAGCCAAGAGCATTTAGATTTAAGGAATTTGGTGCTGACTTTTCCAGGCTTATGCTTTTGCAAAAAGCTGGGGTGGGTGGAGGGCATTGCAGTGATGGGCTGAGGTGATTTTCTGAGTTAGTGCTTCTTTTTTTTCTTTTACAGACTTTAATTCAGAATTATGTTAACATCACTCAGTATTTTGCTTGATTTGATTATCCTTATTCCTTTACAATGGGTGTGATTTATTTGATTGTATCTCAGTGGATAATACACACAGACATAAATAGCACAGTTTAAGAACCCTGTAATGTATGTGGTGCTCTGTAATATCCATAGGGGGTGAATAATAAAAATACTGGCACATCCTTAGCCAGCGTGATGTGAAACATGCAGCTGGAATATTCACAGTTGAGCATGTCTTGGCAGAGGAGCTTGGACATCCAGAAAAGGGTTTGCGCTCTTCAGATTACAAAACTTTTAACAGGTTGTTGTAGCCATTAGGAAAAAAAAATCCCGACCAAACCAAAACAAGCAAACCCACAACAAAAACAAAATCCGAATCTGCCAGCTTCACTTGATGCTCTTCTCTTCATACTCTCATCTTTGATCCCATCTGCACTGTGCTTGCTAAACATATATGAGTGAGCTGAATTTGCTTTTTGTTTTAAGCAGTGACAGGGAAAGCACTCTGGCACCCAAAAGAGCAGGGACTGGAATTTGCTTTCAAATGCTGATGTTAAGCCAGTTTCAAGAGTGCCCCAAGAGCAAGTTTTTGCCTGCAGAAAGCAGGTGTTGAGGGTTTTTTAGTGTGGTTGGTTTTGTGGTGCTTTTTTTTTTTTCTTCTTTTTAAATGTGCTTAAAGGTATTTACCCTTTTTCCCCTTTCCAGCTTGAAAAGGCTCCTTTGGCTGATTCAGGACTGGAATGCAGAGCTCGTGCTATTCCTAAATTAAGAGGTTGGCAAGTTTTTTTGTCCCTGATGAGAGTCAGAAGGATTGTCGAAATGAAACAAGAAATAAAACTCTGCAAATTCTCCTGCTATGGCTCCAGCATTGTTTAGTCTTCCACTAAGGTCTGCAAAGCCAATCCTGAAATGGTTGTAGGCGGAAAGTAACATAAACCACCATGTAGCTGAGAAGCGAGGGATGTTGCTCATTGCACAAGAGGCTTTGGGTATTTTGGAGATGTTGGGAATGTTGGAACAAAATAGCAGCAGTCTGTGGAAATCAGTCTGAGAACTTCTACCCTCCCTGGGGAGGCGAGTGCATCAGCCCCCATCAGTGGTGGGAGTGAGGTGGAGACTCAGCATCTACAGGGATCAGGGCCTTTTAGGTCATTTTTGGTGCCTCTGGACCATGTTCCATTGCAGTTTGTTTCAGGTCATGGTGTAACAGATTCCTGTACTTGTGACTGGAACTGCCTGACCTGGGGACAGGGTTGTTCCTGTGTGCACAGAACTCCTGCTGGTCTTGAACATGTTTATTCTCTCAGCACCTCTGCAAGATTATCGTGGTGTTTTGCAGATGGAATAAATGATGTCCCCACGGTCCTCCAGGACACAGGGAGCAGAGTGAGGACTGTCTTTTCATTGTGTTAGTCTGTGTCCTGGCAGAAAATGTCTCAGTCCCTGCAGCCACCTTCTATTCAAAATAGGACTAAGCTGGCCTTATGGGTCTTGTAGACACAGTGTGATTTGAGATGCATTTAGGTACCACTGGGGTCTTCCAACCCCAAATCTCAGACAGAGGGTGGGGATCCTGTTTTAGCCATGATGAACTGGAGTCAGGGGCCTGTGGGGTGTTTTGCAGCTCTCACGTGCTTTGCCCTTCCTTTTGCTGGGTTCAGCTCTCACTTTATGTCAGAGCAGGCTGGTTTGGGAGATTGTCCTAGAGCCAGCCCTAGAAAACAAGTGTCAGATCAATGACCTGAATTGGCTCAAGGTGCAGCGGGGTGTCCAGCAGGATGCCAAGTGCTACTCCCAGGTGGAAACTTACGCTAAGAGGTGGAGCAGGGCAGATCTCAATGATGCAAATGCCCTAGGATTGTCTTGTCCAAGCTATGAGAATAGCTGAAGAATGTATTTTTTCCTGATGGAGAATAAAACTTGTTCCTACTGGTTCTTAAGCCACTGTTCAAAGCTGACCAGTTAAGAGAATTTTTTTCCCTTTGCCAGTTCAGTTCAATTGTGTTTATAGTATTACTTTGTTGGGATACATGTACTCATTTAGTAGGATATGTCTCCGAACCCACTGCTAGCTAATGAGTCCTGCTTTGGCATCTCACTTGCTTGTTAAAACTAATGTGTTTTTTCAGTCCATGCCAGTGCAAAGTTACCTTTCCAAAGGGAAAGAGAGCTGTGCAAAGAATGTGGCTCCAAGCAAACTTGGACTTGAACTTGAAGGGCTGGGTGGGGTAGCCTTACTCACCTGACCAGGGTCTCCGCTTTGAACTCCCATGACACTAAAACAGCGTCAAAATAGTTAACTGTTAAAAAGACAGCTTGTTTTAGCATCCAACTAAAATCCTTATTTGGGTAGTTCCAAATGCCATACATCCTTCCTTACAGGTCAGATGTCAAAACCTTCATTTCCCCTTGGCAGGCAGCTGTTAAAAGACAGTTTAATGTATTGCTTGAAAACACAGAAGACTCTGAGGTTGGAGGTAGCATAATGTAACTGGAATTTTAACAGCAACTTGAAAACCATTCCAGTAATGCTATGAATGCATTTTTCATCTCTACTGAATTGCCAGGAAGACTTCTGCTTTTCTCCTGCTTTTATAAGGAAATGAAGCATCCGTCATGATCTGCATGTGCATGTGTCTGTCTGTCCTTCTGCCCCCACAACTTCTGACCCTCCCAGTCAAGTTGGTGGATCCAATGAAGCAGTGGATGTCCTGAAAGTAGAGTGTTGCTAAAATGTGGGTGAGAAGTAGAGGAGAGCCAGGATGTGAGTGTCCCCCTCATCCTGTGCTGGAAGCACATGAGCAAGAGGCAGGTTAGTTACGAGTGCAGGAACCAGGCTTTCAGCCTGGCTTATGCAAGCTTGGGCATTTCCACAGCCAGGGAAGCTGACTACCAGAATCAAATTCACAGGAGTGTGTTGATATGTCCATAGCCACTGCAGGGGCTTTCCCCAGGATAAGCTGAATGTCTGCACAGCTCCTTGCCTTGGAAGAAGGTATTAAAAGAATAGAATTAGTAACAGCTGTAGGGATGATAGGTGAACAAGAAAACCACACAGTTCATCTGTCCCCATTGCCTCTGGGGCTTTGCCAGTAGGTAGACCAGGTCTTCATCCACAGCAGCTGTGTATGGTCAAGAGCTAACCTGGTAATCTTTTAAGTATTAAGACAATAAATAATACCTT